CATCGGTCATCACCTCTCGCCTATATTTTCAAATGGCTGCAGTCTTAAAAAATCAAAATAAAAGAGCAAACAGCCCAACTTTGCACTGAATACCCTGCATTTCTTTCCATCTACGGTCAAGTTCCAAGAGTCATGTATTTGCAGTATCTCACCTGCTGTTGACTCTTCCATTCACTACAATGAGGCTGCTGTCTCCAACTTGCCCCGAAATTGCTTTGAGGCAAAGACCGTCTTCTTGGCAAATCCAACCTCCCTTTTCTAGCCTAAACTTGTTGGCTTTGGTGTGGCATCTAATACCTCTGACCACTCTATTCTCCTTGAAACTGTCTTGGTGTAAGTGTCACCAGTTTCTCCCATCTCCATCTTTGACTGAAAGTTCAGTCTCACTTGTCTCTTTCTTTCCTTGCTGCCTCTTGAATGGTGGTATTTCTCAAGATTCCATCTTTACTCCTTATATTTTCTCAAGTCCATTCTCTCTCCAGATGTTGCCATTCACATCCATGCTTTTACTATTATCCATATACTGATGACTCCAAAGTCCATCGTCAGTTCAGACTTCTCTTCTGAAGTTGTTTGGATGTTTCAAACTCACCTTGAATTCAAAATATTCAAAGCTTATTTGCTTCTTTTCTACGCTAGCCCGTTCTCCTGTGGTCTCTTACTGAGGCTCCCAAGCTGGACACTGAGGGGCCATTGCCAACTCCCTTTCCACACCAGCCCCACATCTTAATGCATTTACAGCACTGGCAAATTTACCTCCTTTGTAGTTTCATATCCAATCCATTCTCTCTCTCTGTTCCAACTTAACGCCTCATAGATTGTTGTGAAAATAAGGTGACATACCACATAATTAATGTGCCTAGCACCTGATAAAAATCTTAATTGAATCCCAAGCCAAGAAACCAGCATTTCCAGGTGCTTCTATTGTTGAGGATATACAGACCTTTAGGATTTAGCACTTCCTCTTTTAAGTCATTAAAATCTAAGTGACTCACATGCTACACTGAAATAACAAGTCACTAAATACCATCTCTTAGTTCGAAAGATTTAGGCTATGAGAGGCTTCAGAAATTGGGGGATTTTTCTGACTTTGGAATCCTCAAGTGACTCTTGATGAGATTTAAGTTTCCAGCAGAAATAGTTGAAGCAAGGACCTGAAATGCATGTTTTGTTTTGCTTTTAAAAGAGCTACCACTGATGTAAAAGGTCTTCTCCCTACAGATCTCCCTTTTCTGGGACTTGTGAGCTGGGTGTGTTGTACACTATAATGCAAGTTTCTATTTTCTCTTTCCTGTAAACCTCTCTTCTCTGTGAGGAGGAGAGCTATTGTAAATCCACATTTTGTTGGTTGAGCATTCAACCATTTGAAAAATGTAATAATAAACAGTTTATTGTCTTTGGAATTCTCCAATATGTTGCAAATTATCTGACTTATTACATATTTATCATACAATGAACTTTGTTGCGTTACTATAACAGAAACCCAGCTCTACTCTCTTAAAGAATACAGGAAATTTACTGGCTCGTGTAACAGATAGGCTTTTCTCCTCTTCTACCCAGTCATCCTTGTCCTCCTTCCTATGTCAGCAGCAGTGACTGTGATCTGGGGAATGACATCTCCTGAATGGCGATATCTGGCCGACAGGGGGGTGGTATTCAATAGGGAATGAGCCACTGTGCTCAGGTGATAGCAGTGGAGCTAGGGAGGGGGATGACTTCCTCTGAGGTAGATAGGTTCTTAATAAAATGGTGAGCACCTTAACAGAAGAATGTCATTCTCTTAGGAGGGGAAAAGATACAGGCAGCCAACAAGTGTTCATTATGTGAAGCATAATTAGAATAAATGGAACGGAAGAGGGAATAAAGGAAGAAGTAAAGGAGTTGCAGGAAGATTCTTTGGAAGAAAGAGAAGCATATGTAGTGGCAACAGAGCTCCTAGAAGAAAAAAAATGGAAGACAAAAGAAATGACGGAAGAAAAGCAGAGAAAGATTTAACTGGGAAAGACAGAGTCTGAGTTTAGGAGAGAAGAAGGAATTATCCTAGGACATTTATTTCTTAACTGTTTTTAGGGAAGGATTTCTAACTTTTGACTTCTTTTGTTTAGCTTCTTCCTTCTTAAAGAAACATTTGAAAAATAAATTTTTGCTAATGATTGTTGTGGCGATGCCTTACTCTCAATTTGAGGGTGACAATGGCTGATTGAATAAGAACAGATATTTCCTTTACAGACCACAGACCTTATACCAGCTGCATCCCTTTTCTCTCTGCTGATTATTTGCCCTAGCCACTGTTGGCTGACCGCTGTTCATGTCCAGCTAAATTTCTGGAAGGTTTACCAGAATGAGGAAGCGCAGCAACTGGACAGATTTTTCAAGGAGTATGCAACCAAACAGAGTAAACAAAATTTTGCTCCCTTTTTTAAGAAGCAATCTTTGGTCATACCAAATTTCAAGGCCTGAGAGGATGCCTTCATCATGGACTCCTTTGGTGTTACTAAGGAGATATGAATTAGCCTCCATAGCTGGTGGATGAAGCTCTCAAATACAATACCCGGCGTCTACAGACCCAATTGGAGGGATGCTTAACCATGAATAATATCATATCTTTCAGCATCTACTGGGTTAGTTAACATTTAGCAGAACTTGGTTAAAGCGGCCTCTTTGGTTACAAAAGTTTTAATGTCATTCTCTCACTTCAATTATCTGGTTTTAAAAATTTCTACTTTAGTCTTTCATAAACGGGGAGAAGAGGGAACTTTCCATTTATTCATAACAGTTTATCCCAACTGCTAAAGAGATCCAGCCTTCTAAGAACTAGTGGACGAACTCAAGAGATTTGAAAAGACAATAAGTGTGCAGGCCACCAAAGGAAGTATTTCTGATTCCAGGGAACTTTAAATAGTGAACGGGCAACTGAGGCAGGCCTCCTCAGTAACCAGCTTGGGCAACAATCTGGTGATGTCATTTGAATAGCACTAACCTATCTCTCTGCCCCTTTGGCTTTGCCAAGATGATGAAAATCTCTGCATCGATCAAAGTTTTGGGTTCAGAGTGAAGACTTTTTTGGAAAAAAAATATCATATAACTCTGTAGTTATTCTGTGCAACTTCCACAAGCCCTTATTAGAAAGACTCAACTTCACACAAAGATGAGGAAAATACACTTGGAGCCCGCGGGATGCTGTGCAACCTTTCTTTACTATGAAACCTTTACACAGAAACTTTTCTGTTTTTATGGATCACCACTCAGTTAGTGGAGAGACGGCATTTCATGCATCTGACAGTCTCTTTTTTCCTGGTTTTCCTTACCTTTTATCTTTTCTTCCCATTCTCTCTCTCTGTGAACCTGGAAACTCCCCCTTGTGTCCAAGGTCAAGGAGACCAACGGATCTCTGAAGGGGAATTTTAGACCTGTGTTGTACGTTACAGTAGCCTCTGGTCACATATGGCTACTGATCACTTAAAATGTGGCTAGTGTGACCGGGGAAATCAACTTTTTTTTTTTTTGGCTGAGGAAGATTTGCCCTGAGCTAATATCTGTTGCCAAACTGCCCTTTTTGTTTGCAGAAGATTTGCCCTGAGCTAAGTTCTGTGCCAATCTTCCTCTATTTTGTATGTGGGTCACCACCACAGCATGGCTGCTGACGAGTGGTGTAGATCCATGCCTGGGAGCCAAACCTGGGCTGCCAGAGTGGAGTGCCCTGAACTTAACAACCAGGTGATGGGACCAGCCCCAGGAAATCAATTTTTAATTTAGTTTAATTTTATTTAACTTAGATTTAAAAACTGAAGCTATTAAACAAGGCTAAACACAATTTTATTGTTTTGATGGGTCTGTAAACTTTGGAAATTTAGCACTGAATTGAGATGTGCTAAAAGCATAAAACACACACTAGAGTTTAAAGACAGTATAACAAAGAATGCAAAATGCCTTATTAATAATTTATTGACTAAATGTTGAAATAATAATATTTGGATAATTAGTCTAAATGAAATATACTATTAAAATTAATGTCAGCTGTTTCTTTTTACTCTTTAATATGGCTGTTGGAAAACTTATAGATGTGGCTTTCATAATTTTAATGGACAGCACTTTCCAGATTCTCACATTCTTCACGATGGGATGCCTATTGAATACAAACAAGCCACTCTCTTGGTTATACAGGTCACCTTTCATAGCATAAATTCAATGCTGACAGACTGCCCTCCCTCTCCAGAGTGAGGGAAAAAAAGACATGGAGAACAAATCTCATCCTGAAACCAGCACCAGTTCCAACACTCAGCATCACTGAGAGAATCAGATTAAGCTGCTTTCAAAGGGGTAGGTCATGAAGAAATTGGGCCAAGTGAGTTTTGATGGCTGGGTTGGGAGAGAAAAGAGAGGAAGGTGTAGACAGGTAGAGAACATTCCAGGGCATGGAGCATTTTCAAGAGGGCTAGTGGGAGGCTGATTTAAGAGAGAGGCCCTTAGACATGAATATCTTGGGCTCCTGGAGGGGTGAGTGTACTATAAAGAAGAAAGAGGAAACTGAGCAGAAGATGGAAACATCCTGAAAAGAAGATTTGGGATGGACTGTAGGCAAACATTCTTCTTGGAGGCCTCAGTTAAAGTACATGGCATTGCGATATCCCTTATGATAGCAGACATTTTCTTCTTCCAGATTCGACTCCTGGCCTTCTGTGCAACTGGCTTGAAGTTTCTTCCCCGATGCTGCACCTGCTCCAGGGGCCCTATTTGGTCCTTAGTACCCACCTCAATGTCCTTTTGAAGAGATAGATGGGTAGGTAGGGAACAAATAATTTCTTCATGGTCTTCTAAAGTCCCCAAATATGGAATTTCAGTGGTTATTGATGTCATTTAAATTCACTGATATAATTTTAGATATTCATCGTGTCCAATCGTTTCACTTTACAGAGCGAGAGAGAGAATAAGAGATGATATGCCTTGCTCAGGATCGGCAGCTAGTCAGGATCAGCTGAAGCCACTAGAAATGGAACCGGGTCTGTATCTTCAGGCTCCTGAGTCCTAGTTGAGGTCTATCACTAGCATATATCACTTAACACCAGTTTTAACTGATAGTGCCACACTAATTGTTACTTTTACTTGTAATTTGAGTCCACTGCAGAGCCTAGCAGACTCTGGACTGCTGTAAAGGCTGCCTTTGAATGCCAATGGTCTGGTAAAGAGTACTGTTTATTTTACCCAGTACATTTTGAATTGTAAATATGTTCTGGTCACAGACAAAACATACCTGTAAGATTTTAGGGGATAAAAATGATAGCAAAAATTGTAACTGAATAACCTTTGGGGTAAGAAAGTATTCTCAAAGAATATGGTTTACCTCTCATTTTAGAGATCTCCTGGCCTGATCATCACTAACATTTCATGAGAAAATGAAGGAATTTGGTTAATACCTGCTGTCTAAAAATTAAATGAATTAAAATGAGATGCTATTTTTAAATGTTTAGAATTAACATCCAAATAAATAGCTTGTCTTGTTGATTACAAGCCAAGAGTAGCTTCAGGAGGCTGAAGCTATAAGCCAAGCCAATATATGAGAAAAATCACATCCATAGTTTCTCAAGAATATGGAAAAGTGTTACAAATGGCATTGTTTCTATAGAGAGTGCAATATATGGTACTAGAAACTGTTTCTATGTAGGAATTCTATAGTGTATCATTTCATCCATTCTTCCAACGAGAAGGGATAAATAGATCAACTGTATAGGTGGTATGCTTTTTTTTTCCTTACAATAATAAGTGAAATGAGTAGATTCTCTTTGCATGGACTACGTAATATGTGGATTTCATGTTTGCCATCTTACAGGGAGTTATTTATATATGAAATCTCGTGGACATGAGATTGCGAATGTGTGATTTACAGGCAAAGAAAAAAGACAGCTCTAAATCCTAGTGCTCTACATTTCAAATTTCTGGCTGATCTATAAGCCTTTTAAAGCCCATGTTATTAAGCAATTCAAAATTTCTATGGCTGTATATGTTTAGCTAACATTAACTGCTCAACTAGCCACCCTGTGGCATTTTGCACGCTATTCTTCATTTTTACCATCTATATTTTTTCTCCTATTTTTTCCGTCTATATTTTTTCTCCTCTGGCTTTTTCAGAAATGTTATTCCTATTTCTGTCACACTGTCGCCTTTTAGTCTGTCTTGCAAAAATGTAACATCAGCAGCCAAATGAACCTAGGAAAGAAAAAAAATAAAACAGGCCTGCGTCATTCAGGTTTTAAATAAAAGCTCTCTAAATTTTTTGTCTTTTTTTTTCAGCTTTATTTACCCCATACGGAGCTGATTTTCCTTATGGAGTAATAAAAGTAAGCTTGTTCTTGGACGAAGGGCCCTTTACTGTGTCCTCCAGAGATGGTCTGATTGTGTGTCAGCTCGGTAGTGTGGGTCTGCAAAGAAAAGGGCGGTCCTGGCCAGGCCCAACTTGGATGACTCTGGGGCGAGCCCAGAGATGTGGACCCATTTATGGTCACAGCGCAGGTCTGAACTATGGATCCGTCTCAAGAGGAATACAAATTCCCAACTCAAAGATGCCTTGACTCAGTGTGCCTTGCCAAGCAGAACTCCCAAGGATAAATGGGTTCTTAAACAATTCCCCTGCAACTGACTTGCTATAAATCATTTTGTCATTAGCTAAATAACATAATCACTTGTCACTCAACGACAATAGTTTGAGAGCGTTGAAAAAATATCAACTAAATAAAGTTTACATATAAAATTAAAGACTGAAATTACAGACATGCATATGTGATACCCAGGCCTTCTTTTCCACTGGCAAGAATTTCCCGTTTCCCAGACATTGAAGTAAGCCCTAAGGGCTTACTTCTCTATTTATTAAAATGTATTCACGTAAAAACAGCATGATATTGCTGACCTACTCTCAACAGAGCGTCGAGCTATTTTAAGTCATTGGGGTAAATAAGATAAATAAGCAAAAGTACCTAGTAAAAGCAAATAATAAGTGAAAAAGCCTGCGTCTGGTAGGCAATTTATTATTATTTATTACATCTTATCTGACTCACTCCCCTCTCTCACTAAGAATTCTTGGCCAACCAGTCTGGATTGAGTAACCCATAGACTTCGGTATGGCAAATTATCTGACTCATACAGGGTGCAAAAACCATGCCTTTGTGATGCTCGCCACCCAATAGAAGGATGTAGACTGCACTCTGAAATATAGAAGCTAAATTCACCCTTATTTTTATCCACATAGGATCTTTTTTTGTCTTTGCCAAAACTTAACAGCAAATCAATGAAAATAACAAGGAGATGAATTTGAAACTATTTGCATATTTGGGGTCACATGAGCTCTGACACGTATTTGTCGTTCAGCATAGTAATCAACTGTTATCCATGAAAGCTGGAGACTTTCTTATCCTATTTTTGCCTTGGTTTTATGGTTCATCTCGTTGCCCATTAGCTCCCAGAACTCTTCCCTTCCCCTTTCTTGATTTCACGGCCATTGATTGTAGGGCAAGCCTAAAAAAATGTTAGAGCATGGAGGACCTGTGTGAATAACACATTATTTGTATTGTTTTACTCTTTTGGATTACCTGTTATTATATCCTTCCCCTAATTATCACAAATAACTGAAAATTATACCCATGTCTCACTATTGGGTAGGTCAACACATGTCTTACCTTTAGCTGCTTTGTGGTCCCAACATTCTTAATAGCGAAGCTTCTGGAAAATTGAGACTCTGTTGACTGTTACCTCTTCCTAAGCTGCCCTTGTCTCACCAGTCTTTGAGAGATTATCTTCTTCTCCCTCCACTTTCCCAAAACAGCTTTTACCAGGGTCCTTCCTGACCTTTTGGTCCCTAAATGTGAATATTTTTTAGGTCTTGTTTTACTTTGCCTCTCTGCCGTCCTTGAGCTTGTGAATCAATCCTTCTTGAAATAGTCTCCTCCCTTGTTTCTATAGCTCCATTCTTTCCTGGTGTTTTTCCTACCTCTGATTACTCCTCCTTGGTATCCTTTGCAGTCTTTGACTTCTCTGTTTAACCTGCTCATTATATTTTGTTGCTTCCTAGGGTCCCATCTGTGACTCCTTTTTCTTCTTACTCTACATGCTCTCTCTAGGCATTCTTTGATAGTTCCAATGCCTGTTTGGTCCACTTCTCTCTGTGACTTCCAGACATGTATAACAACTGCTGAGTGGGTATCATCACTTGTGTGGGGGTTAGACACCTCAATCCCAGCAGCTTCCAAAACGAACTCCTCACTTTGTCTCTTCTAATCCCCAACGCCCCCAGTATACTCCTCCTGGTTTTACTCTCTTGGTTAATAGCACATCCATCCCTACATGTTGCTCAGAAACCTAAAAAGAGTTCCTGAATCCTTTTCTCAATCTTGTCCCTTTAAGCCAACTAATAGCATAGTCTTATCTGTCCTGCCTTCTCAGAGTTGTTCAAATCTGTCTTCTCTCCGCTCCTACTGTCAGTGCTTTGTTGTGGTTTTACTGGAGGTTACCATTATCAGCTTCCTAACTGCTCTCCCCTGCCCTCCAGCCCTGTCCCCTCCTGTACACTTTCACTTTGTTGACAAAGGAATGAAATTCCTAAAACACAAATATCAAAATATTCATTTCCCTGTTATAAACCTATAATGGGTCATGGCTGTTTTCAACATAAAAATCCAAATTCCTAAGCTTGTCATATGAATCCTTGTTTTTTTTCATCAGCCCCTATAAAGAATTTAAATCTACTTTCTCATGACCTGTCTCACCCTACATGTCACTCATACTGAACTAATTCAAGTTCCTTGTTCCTTGAATAAAACATTCTTCTTGTGCTTTTGGACATGCTGCTCCTTTTACCTGGAATATTATTTTCCCCTGCTTACCTTACCCCAAGACCTTTGCCTCTTTTTTTTTTTTTTTTTTGGTGGAAGATTATCCCTGAGCTAACATCTGCCACCAACCCTCTTCTTTTTTCTGAGGAAGAGTGGCCCTGAGCTAACATCCATGCCCATCTGCCTCTACTTTATATGACAGCATGGCTTGACAAGTGGTGCGTATGTCCTCACCCAGAACCTGAACCGGTGAACCCCGAGCTGTAGAAGTGGAACGTGCGAACTTAACCACTGCACCACTGGGCCGGCCATGCCTCATTTCGTATTTAGCCTTCAAATGCTATCTTAGAGTGGCTCTAGGAAGTCTTCCCTGCCCCCGAACCGTGCCCCCTCCCTCAAGGTCCTCCCATAGCCCTTAGGTACACTGCTTTACACACCTGATTTCTCCACAGGACAGAAGATTTTTGAAGGACAGCAACTATGTCTTGCTCTTTTTTGTAACTTCAGTGCCTGACACTTAGCAGATGCTAATAATTGTCTTAGCTAAAACAATGAATAATTCAGGTGTGGAAGCCAGCCTCCAAAGTGGCCTGCAATGATCCCCACCTCCTGCTACTCATGCCCTCAGGTAGTCCCCTCCCACATTGCACCAGGGTTGGCAGCACCTGTTGTGATTAGACCTACAAAGAGCCCTATGTGGCAAGGAACTTCCTGAAGCCTCTAGCCAACTGCCAGCAAGGCACTGAGACCGAGTGAATGAGGTTGGAAGTAGATTCTCCAGGCTCAGTCAAGTCTTCAGAGACTGCAGCCCTGGCCAACAGCTTGACTGCATCTGCATTTAGCTGTGAAAGGCTCTGAGCCACAACCACCCAGCCAAGACTCTCCCAGATTTCTGATCCTCAGAAACTGTGTGAGATAATAAATGTCTGTTGTTTTAAGCGGCTCTATTTTGGGGTAATTTGTTACATGGCACTGCATAACGAATATACCCGGCAAAATGAAGTATGTACTTTACCATTTCCAGGGCACCTCTGATAATCCCACAGAGTAAATTACAGTAGCACAGAGAAGACCGTCCAGCGGGGAGCTCTTCCACAAACTCCACCAGAGGATTCTTGTCTAGAATCAGAGAAAATTCGTTTCTGCTTGAATTGTTACAGGTCACACTTGGTGTAATTCCCAAGTACATCTTGAAAGCAACCTAATAAAGAGGAAAAACAAATTACTAAAATTTGGTCTAGAACAAGTGTCTACTAGTAGGGCAGCCAATACCCTGTTCCAGGTGGTGCAAAATGGGTATGCGTGTGGAGCTTATAGTCAGGAAGTCTGGGTTCACTCCTAGCTTTGGAACTTACTGACCCTATGACTTGTATAAGTCTTAAGGTCTTTTATTTTTATGCAACCTCCTAAGGGACTAGTTTTCTGTGAAAAAAATATGGTTTATGAAACACAGAATTAAGGCATCATTTTCAAAAAAAAATCTTTTTCAGAAATAAATATCTTTTACCAGGGTAAAAAATTAAAATATTATTAATCATCAACACACTACTATATTTGTCATACTGAGCCTAGTAAAGGATAGGATCTGGAATTAGGACCAGAAGGGGACCAAGGACACATCTGCCACAATAGGAAGATGATAGAGCCAAGAACGTTACAGGAAGATTAGACCCCAAAAAGGGTGTGTTTTGGGAAATGAAGGGAGTAATATCACTAAGAATGACAAGTCTCTGAGAAGGAGCAAGGGGTTGGGGGAGAGGTGTATAGTCGAGTCATAAAAGAACTTCCCCCAAAAGTTTGCTGTTTTACAGGGCTTACAGAATTTCACAGTGCAGAGACAGAAACCTTGGAGGCTATTTCTTTTATAACGAATTTTCACAAACGAATAAACTGGGATTCGGAGAAGTAAAATGACATGTCCAAGGCTATACTATAACTTATTTCTTTGACTCCTAGTCCAAGCCAGTTTCTTTTCACAAAATGCACAGGCCCGGAATTTGAAGCTTATTAATGGAAAGTTGTCAGTTTGATATATTGTCATCATTCAAGTGCTTTAATTAATTTAATTTTTAAAATTAAGACCAGTATAAGAGAGAAATGGAAACAATTTCCTTGAATTATTTATAATTAGAAGTACTAAAATGTTCATTCTTCATTCATTCATTCATCCATTCATTCAATAGGTACTCATTGAGCGCTGCCTGTCTCGCACCGTGCCTGGCACACAGTGGGATTCAATAACTATTTGAAAAACAAATTATTAAATGAGCAGCCATTCTGTGTTTGACACCATGTTTAGATCCACAATACAAAAGAAAATAGCACATAGTTCCTCTTTTATAAAAGCTCATAGTCAAAAAGGGACTACAGATATTAAACAAGTAATTGCAACGGAATAAGTCCTACAAGTACAGTGTTGTATAGTAGGAGGCAATCCTGGAAATATTCAGAGGTAGTGACTTCTATCCTGCCATGAATCTTGAGGGAGAGTTTCCCAGGTGGACAAGGTGGGGTGGGAGAGATCTTCTAGGTGGAGGGAACATATCATGGAGATGAAATACCTTGATGAGGTTCAGGAGAGGTTGGCATCTATGAACTTGTGGGCAGTAGGAAGCCCTGAGGTGTGAGTAGGCTGGGGCAGAATTGAATTTCTGCTTTAGAGGGATCTCCTGCATGTCAGCATGGAGGGTGGATTTAGGGTTGAGCGTGGGGGTGGGCACGAGGTCAAAGGCAGAGATACCAATCAAGAGGTTACTGTGATAGTCTAGGAAAGAAATGATGAGGCTCTTTCTCATTTTGTCTTTCATTCAAAACTCAAACTCTCCCTAAACGTTTCCATATAAATTTCAAATAGCCCAAATCCTAAAACACGGTTCAAATCTCTAACACTAGTCAATTTAAAAGGCTATAAAATGAATCTTCCAGATCTTAAGTCAAAATAGTAAAAGTAGCAATCTTTAAGAAGCAAGAGAAAAAAACCACCATGAGACTCCAGGCTTGGAGACGATTTGGCTCCCTATCAATTGGCTGAAACCCATTTCTGCTAAGGTTGATTCCTCTGGCTGGAAAATTCCTAGACTATTATTTATATGATTGAGAATCAGAAATCCAAGCCCCATGAAAATAACATAAAAATGGAGGCTGTGTGCTTTGAATTTACTCTAATTCTCAGTCTTTTGGCACTGGTTTCATGGACCAATATACAACAGTAGGAGGCATTATCTGAACATAGTTGGGAAATGTTCATTCCTAGGGAATGACATTATTTCCTTATCTGGCTGAATTCAGCCTGAGAAGGAGGACTGTTGTTTCTAATGAAGAAAGAGCTCCACCCTCGGCCAGTGCCACAGCTGCTCTGCCAATGAATAAGAGCAAAGCATTTTCCCTCTTTGTGTATCTCCAACATGGATGCTTTTCAGGGGATTTTAAAATTCTTCCTTAACCAGAAAACTGCTATTGGCTACAGCTTCCTGGCTCTGCTGACCGTGGGAGGTGAGCGTCTCTTTTCACTCGTGGCTTTTAAGTGCCCCTGCAGCACTGAGAATATGGTCTATGGGCTGGTTTTCCTTTTCGCTCCCGCCTGGGTGTTACTGATCCTGGGATTCTCTCTGAACAACCGGTCCTGGAGACTCTTCACAGGCTGTTGTGTGAATCCCAGGAAAATCTTCTCCAGACGTCACAGCAGCCGCTTCTTCTGTGTCCTCAGCCAGATCACTCTGAGTTCGTTGGTGGCACCAATGATGTGGCTTTCTGTGGCTTTGCTCAATGGGACTTTTTATGAATGTGCCATGAGCGGGACGAAAAGTTCAAGCCTCCTGGGACTGATTTGCAAGGGCAAGCCCAAAGAGTGCTGGGAAGAACTTCACAAAGTATCTTGTGGCAAGACCAGCATGACACCCACAGACAATGAAGAATTGAAACTGTCCCTGCAAGCCCAGTCTCAGGTAAGAGAGGACAAGCTCGCCTTGCCCTCCCAGCGCGAGCCTGAAGCTTTTTCTCCACTCCTTTCAGCCAGGGCTGAGACTGAATCCCGCTAGAACATTCCGAAACGAAATGGAAATTGGAACAAGATGCAGCATTAAGACAATCTCGGGAAAAGCTTTTTAGAGCTTAGATGGCTCAGTAGAATTGCTGATTGGGTTGTCTTTTCCATTTCCAGAAAGAAAATATCCTCTGGGTGATGCATATGTAAATACTTAAGTACTTGAAAACAATCTCTCTGGGTTGACTTTGTAAATAATGCATGACACTAACTCATAATTGAGTGTTAATGGCAGAGCTGTAATTAGAAATTACTGCCTTCTATCAATTAGTTATTTGCAAACTTGTTTCTCAGAAACACACACATAGTATTCATCTATTAAAATATAGCTGAACCAAATGAGCTAATACTTCTCAAAGTTGCATGTAATATAATTAGTGTAGGGATTCCCTTGAATGATTTCTGGCAACTGCTATCTCTATTGTAAACACTGTCAAGACTCAGAAGAATTTCCCGCAGAAAGTAGGACTTGGCAGTCTTTAAATAGCCGTCAGTGAAAAGGGACCATATTCTCCACGGAGGTTACGCCCTATGCTCTTTGTACCGTACAGCTAAAAAAGTTCTTACATTACTTTAGAGACTCGAGACTGGGGGCATTGTTTTATCTAACAGAAAGAAATCACAGCTGATACAGGGAAGTAGCTTGACATCCTTGCAGACACAGGAACACAAATCCAGATGTGAAGCCTTGCCCTGGCCTCAGGAAAAGACTGAATTCCTACTTGTGAGTAGTAAGAATTGCATTCCCCAAACCAAACAAGCAACAAGAGTAGATAAACAGATCCACAATTTGTCAGGAATGCTATTTGTTTAAGAATAAATGCACTGAAAATAGTATAATTTTGTATTTTCCACAACGACTTGCCTTTATGACAACATGTCCAGGCAAAGTCTGTTTTTTTTAAAAAAAAAATTTTAATGAGGCATAATTGACATCAAAGTCTGTTTTTAAAATCATACATTCCAAAGCTGGTTGGTAGTATAGTCATAGTCTTTTCAGAAACTGAAAACCTAAAAATGACCCTAAACAAAGTCTTTTGTTTAATTCATGAAGTGCATCTTAGATAAAAACATGCCAAGCTCCCAAATGTCTTCCCTTTTTTGTTGAAGGAAGGTATTAATTATGAACATTGTGATACAATGAGTGATTTATGGTTGATGTCCTCAGGCCCCTGGCTCCATTCAGTTAGTGCCAGATCCAAACACTTATCACTGTGTGAGCTTTTCTTCTCTAAACACGGGTATAAGGAAATCACACACATCCTGTCACAGCTCAGCCTGGGCACTCTGACCTGTTTACTTCTCAGCAGAATGAGAAGGACCTGGGGCTGATTCCCGGGGGAGGATGCATGGGGGATGTGAACAAGAGGAGCCGTATCCATAGCAGGTGCTGACTGCATGATTCAGGCAGGAAGGAGCAACAAACAGTCCAGGCCAATAGTTGGGTATGTGGGCGGGGGTGGAAAAAGTGCCCCATCCATGGGTTGGGCAGAGAAACAAGAACTCCTGCTGGGTGGCTCTCTGTTCTTAAGGAAGGTAGAGTGGAGTAGTGACAAGAACTCTGCCTTGGGGTTGGTTAGCCTTGGGTTTGAATCCTGATTCTACCACTTACCAGCTCTGTGACCTAGAGCTAGTGGTTTGACCTCTCTGAGCCCCAGTTTCCTCTAGTTGGGTAGTAACACCTACCTTGGAGAGTTGTTGGAAGGTTTAGAGATAATGGACATAGATGGGCATAAAGCTGCTGGCACATGGTAAGTGTCCTCAATTCTAAATTGGTGAGAAAATTGAGATAAGAGACTCAGTCAGAATGCTACAATATTGAGGGCTATTTATGGCTGGTGTAGGAGCATCTCTGTGTCTAGTTAGATTCTGGGTACCGTGAATTGGAGAAGAACAAGAGGGCTCAGTGCTCAGCACTCAAATGAGAGCAAGGTGATGCAGTACGGGGGCGGGAGGTCTGAAACTGATCAAATAGGTTATGACTCAAGCAGAAACGGCTCAGATACTGGTGAGAAGGCTGCTCCCACACAGGAGGCATGGCGGTGGGGAAAGAAGAAGGCAGAAGATGCAGAAAAGAGAAAGTTCTGAGGCAGCCAACCACAAGTGATTCCAAGTAAATATGAGGACTTTCATTCACTAGTCATAATGACAGGAAGGTACTACGAGTTCAGTAATGCTTTTACGTAAACGTATATACATTTGAAAAATAGTAGCAAGTGATAACAGCTAACACTGAATGCACATGTGTGTCCAGCATTGTTTCATTTTAATCTCCAAAATTACCCTCCAAAATTACTTTAGATGAGTAACCCCATTTTACAACTGAGGAGACTGAGGCACAGAGAGCACCCATCGTAAGGGAAAGTTGGGCCAATCCAGGGTTGGCATTCTTCTGGAGTCTGAGACCCTGCACAATAGTTCCATGGTCTGAGCCAGAGTTTAGAAGCCACTGATTCAAAGCAATGAGCTTATCTATGGTTCCGGTACAGTCTGAACGGGCTCCTCTGCAGATTTCTGTTTCCATTTTCAAATAGGCCCATCAGCTGAGAAATACTAAGGGTCGTTTAACTAAAATGTCAAGAGAAACTTTGAAAGAGCTCTGTTGGTCGTTTAAATATGAAATTAATTCCAATCATGAAAAATATAATTAGAACAAAAAAGTTTAGAAGTTGAGCTATTTAGACTTCTGCTTTTAAAATTCAGGAAAAAAAACCCCAGCTGAACCAGTTTGTATTCAGAGAGGAATTTTTTTCCAATGCTTGAAAACACCTGGCTAAGGAACTGGTCATTTGCTCAAATGACCACATTTACTCACACACAGAATTCTTTCCTCTAATAGCTAATACTATCTGAGGACTTGGTTTATCCAATTCTTGGATAATCTATACATTTTACTCTTTTCCATTTGCCTGGCTTCTGGTTATTTCTTCGCATACCTGCAACAGTGTGTAGGTTAGAGATTAGAGATTAGGGAAACCCTAATTTTATTTGACAGTTAAAAAGTTAAGATGAAGGGGACCAGCCCCGTGGCTGAGTGGTTAAGTTTGTGCGCTCTGCTGCGGCAGCCCAGGGTTTCGCTGGTTCAGATCCTGGGCGCAGACATGGCACCGCTCATCAAGCCACTCTGAGGTGGCGTCCCACATAGCACAACCAGAGGCACTCGCAACTAGAATATACAACTATGTACTGGGGGGCTTTGAGAAGAAGAAAAAGAAGAAAAAAAGAAGATTGGCAACAGATGTTAGCTCAGGTGCCAATCTTTATAAAAAATTAAGATGAAGGATTTCAACTGAGATGTGGCAGTGACTGTGGTATTAATTTAGCCATACCCTTCCTGATGACAACCACTTGGCTCCCTGAGAAGTGGCCTTGCCTTTACATGTCCTCAATATTTCTTTCTTTCTAAGATTCTAGGATGGTGCCTGATTTGTTCAGCATCCTTCTTCTCTCTGCTCACCACCTGTTATGCTCGCTGCCGATCCAAAGTTAGCTACCTTCAGCTGAGTTTTTGGAAGACCTACGTACAAAAAGAGAAGGAGCATTTGGAAAACATGTTCCTGGAGTACGCCAACAAGCTGAGTGAGAGAAACCTGAAATGCTTTTTTGAAAACAAGAGGCCAGATGTCTTCCCCATGCCCACCTTTGCAGCCTGGGAGGCTGCTTCAGAGCTGCATTCTTTTGACCAAAGCCGGCAACATTACAGCACCCTCCATAAGGTGGTGGAAGACGGTCTGGAGCTTAGCCCTGAGGTCGATGAGACCACGATGGTCCTTGTGGGTACTGCCCACAATGTTTAGTTCATCCATCATCACTGACTCACGGTGTCCAGGAGTACACTCATTCTGACATCTTCCTGCTGCATCAACAGCAACTTGTAGATCTGTTTTCCTCACATTTAGTGCTCCTTTATAAGACAATAATACAAAGGGAAGCAGCTTTGCAGCTCCCCAGTGCAGATGGTGTCAGGATGTGTTTAAACTGATGCTGAGCAACTGGTCAAGGATGATGACAAAGGTGCTCTTCCATTGGTTGGGGGTTGGGCTCAGCCACTTCAAGTTCTGAGATTTTATGATTCGACACTGAGATTCATACAAGAAGGTCTGCCACTCTATAAATATTGGTCATGGCATCTGGGGACAGAAGCGGTGACTTGTGAGTGAGGTACTCAACATAGATTGTTGTGCAGGGTGAGACCTGTGGTGTAGTCAGTGGGAGTCCTTGTCCTATAAATCTATCTTATCGCCTTTCAAGGATGTATGAAATTCTACCATTTCAAATTCATTCCCTTGGAATCTGAAGATATCAGTTCTCAACAATAACCAATTGAGAGGATATGGTTCCTAAAATTCAGAGCTTATCACATGTTTCCACTGTGTACTGAAAGAATGTCCCTACAGGCAGGGCTGTATTATGACTCGTGTGGGTCCTAGGCACTTTTGCCTTCATGGACCCTGTCTACATTAAAAAATACACACACACATATATTTATAACTGTATTGATATAAAGACATGTTAATATTATATATTAAAACATTTTCTTCAACCTTCATTTATTTATTTCCTTCTGATTTTAAACGAAATTAAAAACACTTTTGTGGGACCCTGCAAGTATCATGGGCCCCAGGCACAGTCACTACTGTGATGAATGGGTAAGTTGACCCTGCCTCGAGGTCTGGGGAAGCTATTCAAAGCAGTGATGGTGTAAAACTGTTTTGTGGTTTTACATTTATAATAAATAATGCAAATTTTGCAACCTACTATGTAATATATCCATATTAGTTTAAATATATACACTTTTAAAAATTCTCCCTAAATCTCTGAGTAGAACTGATGCTTAAGGAAGAGGCACCATGTTTTATGCTGTGGCTCACACCTTATATCACTGGCAGTCCTTGTCTCCTATTTTGAGAATCTTGGGGATTAACTCCTTACTGCCATGGAACATTATTGAAAACTAGGGGGAGGACCCTATAGATTTTAGACCTGGATCATATCCTTGGGAACTCAAAGGTGCAGGGTCAGATGTGTGTGTGTAGGTAGAAGAGTGGGAGGTGGGGGCTGTGAGGTTGCAATATTTGAAATCTTATTTGGGTTGTAAATATGATATGTGATAAATGTTTACCAACTGGCTCTCAAAAAAGAAAAGAAGCCCTGAGTTGAAGTGTTTGATATGGTGTAACTTCAAGTTGCCAAGGTGATATCACTGAATGCAGAGTTAGGAAGAGATGCTAACCATGGCTCTCTTGAGCCAGTATGAGCTTTCAAGGAAGGTATTATAGATAGTGTGCCTTTGCATTTACATTGATTCTAGCCAAACCAACTTTGGTGCATCTGGGATTCACTTTAATAAAACCTAACTGTGATAAATTAAAGCTGGCTCAATGGCTCCAGCTGAGAGATGGGGTCACATTCTTCTCCTCACTACCAACCTTGAATCTAGTCTTAACAAACCAATAGAATGTACAGAAGTGAAGGCAGATTATGGAAGTGTTGCAGCCTATGCCTTGGTCTCTGGCAATGCTCACCCTGGTGGAAGCCAGAACCATGTAAGAAGTCCAATTACTTTGAGAGCTGCAAGCCCTGAAGAAGTTCAACCTAGCCAAGTGGAGAGACAGAGAGAAAAGAGACAGGGAGTGAGAAAGAGAAAAAGAGAGGGAGCGACAGAGTCCTGGCTAGACCCAACTGTTCCAATCATTCCGGATTAGGTGCCAGACATGTGAGCAAAGAAACCATTTTGGACATTCCAGCCTCAAGAGACAAGACATGGCGAAGAACCGGGCAACCCAACCAACAGCCACAACAAAGGTCCCAGATCTTTGCTCCTAGTGAAGTCACTTTAGACATCCAGACTTTTGAGCCACTCCATCTCAGGCTGCAGACATGGTAGAGCAGTCTGCACTATGTCCTGTCCAAATCCCTGAGCCAGAAAATCATGAGCTTAAATGAATGTTTCTTGTTTTAAGCCCTCAAATTTGGAGGCAGTTTGAAGCAGTAGATAGCCCGAACACCAACACATGAAAATCAGAATTTATTAAAGGAGAGAAGTTAGAGGCCAATTGGATTTATACATAGATTTATATGAAGATTATCTCTATGCATAGGCTTTTCCTTAATAATTTTTCCCTCTAGAATCCAGTCAGCAGTATATCCTCTATGAAATGATTTGATAGATGTTGAGTAGGTACCTCTCCATAATGGCTCCACCAAAGCCTGAGATTCCTTTTTAATTATTTCTGGTTAAACTTGGTTTAAAAGGAATATACTTCTGTGCATTAAATTCTGTTTAAAATAACATGTTACTGAGAGGAGCAACATTATTTGTCATTAATACCTAGACAAAAATGGGAGTGGAGGATACAGGATAGGTTGGCCTTGAGTAAGCTGGAAACAGATTGGTCTTCTCGTTTGGCTCCTCAGAATGTCGTCTTCAGATCATCAGCATCAGCATCAAGAAGGACCTCGTCAGAAAGGCAGAACTACGGCCCCATTCCGACCTGTTGAATCAAGCCTGCAGTTTCACGTGATTCCTGTGTAATTTCAATGTAGATGTGCCAGAGCCCTGTTCTCAAACTTTAGCTCACATCAAAATCATCTGGAGGGCTTGTGAAAATGTGGACTGCTGAGCCCTAGCCCCAGAGCGTCCCATTTGGTAGGTCTGGGTTAAGGCAGGAGGATTTGCATTTCTAACGAGTTCTCGGGTGACGCTGACGCCGTTGTTCCAGAGAGCACATCTTGGGAACAACTCCTCTAAAGCACAAAGCAGCCCACACTGGGGAACACAGGAAGATAGGGCCTCACCCCAGATCTACCGAATCAGACCTCTTTGTCATGTTGCTATCAACCTGATAAGAACATGGGGTGCCTTTCCATTTATTCAAGGCTACCTTTTGTCCTTAGGAGTATTTTAAAGTCTTCCTTACTTAAGTTTTGCAAGTTTCTTGTACTTGTAGGTATTTTTCTTTGCTGCTATTGTAAACAGTTTCTTTTTTCCAACGTATCTTCTAAGTGATGGTTATTTGAGTACATGAAAAAGCTATTGCTTTGTGCATATCAATTTTATACCTCTCTACTGATTCTTTTATTCTCTTATTTTTTGTAGAGCTTTTCAGAATTAGAAAATAACCATTTTGCAACCCCTAATGACATAATACATCTGGACAATAGATAATGAATTCTAAACTACTAGGTGAAAGCATGAAAGGGTGAGGACCACGCAACTTGAAGCCACTTATCTATCTTAGCATCCCTAAAAATGGGACAACCAGATATCATGTGTCTCCTAATGAGATGCAATGCAAGAGTAAGTACACGGTACCATCTGTGAAATCTTTGTTTCCCCAAAAAACTAAATCTGAATCTAATGAAGTATTTAGACCTAACTACTAGTTTACAGGGAATATAGGCAACAGAAAACAAGTTAATTAGCACTATGAGAAAGTAACCGAGTAAATCTAGAATATCAGACATTCTATTTGACATATGACCCAGTTTTCCACAGACCAATGACATAAAAAAAAAGGAGAATAAAAGAGACATAACAACCAGAAGCAACACGTGGGCCTTATTTGTATCCTGCTTTAAAGAACCAAATGTAACAGGATATCTTTGAGATTATTTAGGGAAATATGAATGGGGAATAGGGAAATATTATTACATATTCTCTTTACATTTGTTTATGTTTGAAAAATTTCACAATAGTTTTGCAAAGAAATAAATTATATGCTCAACTCAGTTCTTTTGCTGAAATTTTGTCAATCTATTCCTTCTGGCCTGGAGTTTACCCTCTAGTATTATTCTCAGAAAAGGTCTCAGGAACACTGTTTCCTGAATTCTTACATATTCAAACTATTGACCTGTACTTGAAGGGCGGCTTATCTGGTTCATGCTTTCTATACATTTTAAGTGTTAATATAGCTCTATATTTTAAGTGTTACTCCATTATCTTTCACCACTGAACGTTGCTAAGGAAAAATCTGATTCCATCCTGATTTATTACTAATGTGATGTTTTTGCCTATATTTTCACAGGATTCTTTATCTTTAAAGTCAAATAACGTTACTAAATATGCCTTCAGATGGGTCTTTTGGGTTAATTTTCTCTGCTACAAGTTGTACTCTTTCATTATGGAGAAACATTTTCTTTTCAATCAAGAAAATGGAGTTTGTGAGTTTTCCCTTATTCTCCTCGTTGCTCTATGTGACTTTCAAGAAACTTTATGGTTTTGGATTCAGAACTAAGCAACTGCTATGTTCCTATTGGAATTTCTTTAATTTAATAGCAATTTAAAAAAACTGTGAGTCTTGTGGTCTTGATTCTTGTTTCACTTATTCCTACCCTCGCCTTCCATTTTGCTCTGCCATGCAACCAGAACAGAGTCAGTACTTGACTTTTTGACATTTGTAGCCCCTCACCTGTGAGGTAAGTACCAAGCACCAGTGGATCCGGATATGCACCTCTTATATGGTAGTGGCAAGGATGAAGATTTTTCTCTTTTGTGTGGTTGCTGCCTCGATTGTTATCATATATTCAAGCTAATCCCATCATTACCCAAAGGTCCCAAGAGAGCCTTGGCTGCCCAGAGGAGCTGACACAAGAGAGGGTCGAGCTCCAGTTCTAGTCATTTATAGCCATGGCTTCTGAATAAGCCTTAGTGAAGCCCAAAACGTGTCCTGAGACATAATGAGATGTTAGGAGAGGCAAAAGGGCAAGCTGAACTGCTGAGGCTGGAGACTGAGTACGGAGGGCAACCCCAGAAAGAGGCCTAAATTTCTTACAGGCAAGGCATGTGTCAGTGGCTTTGGACTTATACCTAGTTGTGTAGGATTTTGTTCAAGAGCATTGGGTTAGTTTCCTCTCTTTTGGGGATGGGAACATTCTTATTACAAACGTAAAATGTCGTATCTGAGTCTTGAAGGGAAGCTACTTTTAGGCAGCTTCAAAGAATGTTTTCAACACTCAGCTGTTTGTTCAAATTGACTTCTGCAGAAGGAATACTTGTCTAGCTGTAAGAGAGATCATATTCTAAATTTCGCTCTTCCACAAAGGAGGAAAGGCAGAATTAATGTTTAGTGGTAACCTATTATGTGCACTTTACATTTAATTTAAATTTAAAATTTCACAAGCTTACTAGGAAGGAGGTATTACTGTTTCTATCTTTATGAATAACACTAAAGTTCAGAAGCTTAAGGTGAAGCTACAGGTAAGAGATCGAGCCTAACTTTGGGCCTGAATTTGTCTGACTCCTAACTCACCACATAAATGCTGCCTCATGTTGGTATATTCTCAAGTATTCATTTTAACCTTTAAAAGTGTATTTTCTCAGGTGTAAAATTAGAGTGTTGGATTAGTACATCTCAGAGTTTCTTTCGACTCTGTCTTCCTAAATCTTACAGCCAGTAGAACGTGAATACCCAGTCAATTGGCTTCTTGGTGTACTCCTGGGAATTGATGTCTATCTCCAAGTTTCCTGGCCTCTGTGTGGGTCCCTGGCCTCTTTCCCATCCTGTATAGCTTTTTACCTTGGGTTTCTAGATATTTGGGACAGTTATGCTCAAACTATGCTTAGTTCACTATGCCAGTAAGGTCAACTTCCTATTTTATTTCCTTAGATAAAAATGACAATTGATAAAGAAGAAAGTTTCAGCATTGAAAAGTTCGTAAAAGATTTAGAATGGTCCCCAAACTTTAATTTTTATATCTTTTAAAGCCCATCTTTCTGTCTGTCCACATGACTGGCTATCTTTTTTTCTTTTTTTGAGGAAGATTAGCCCTGAGTTAACATCTGCCAATCCCCCACTTTTTGCTGAGAAAGACTGGCCCTGAGCTAACATCCGTGCCCATCTTCCTCTACTTTACATGTGGGACGCCCACCACAGCATGGCTTGCCACGCGGTGCCATGTCCGCACCCGGGATCCAAACCGGAGAACCCCTGGTCGCTGAAGCAGAATGTGCGCATTTAAACGTTGCGCCACTGGGCCAGCCCCTGGCTATCTTTTTATAGTTTCAGATTTCCTGATCCTATAGTTACACCAATGCCAGAGAAAAATCTTTAAAAGCTTTAAATTGTATTGAAAACTGAGATTAAAATGGGGGAAAATGAATTAATTAATTCACCTAATCATATTCTCTAGATCATTTCAAGAAATAGGATAAAGTAAGAAAAGTATGAACTCAGGTGATATTGAGTAATTCTGCTTAAGAATAGTACGTCAAAATATATTCATCCTTTGGCAAAGTACATAACCTATAAAATAATAGTTGTGTTGTAACAACATTTTACTCCTACATTTTAACATAAAGGGATGTGCTTCTGCAGTAATAATGGTTGCTGATGGTGTCAACAGGACAAAATTATTTTTCCCAGAGGTTTTTTTGGTATTTGCGTCATGGGAGGAAACATGAGGGATAGTAATCAGTGTTTTAAAAAGGCTTGTTCCTTAAACAATTGGCTAAGAATGGGTTTTACTGACCCTGTATATGAAGTAAAACAATTAAAGAAATATGCAGCTACAAACAAGTGTTTGATCAATTTCCATCTTCTTCGGAGTGAATGTTCTGGAAGATGCAGCTTCTCTCCTACCTCCTCTCTAAGGGATAAGCTACATCGCAAACACTGGTGGGGTGAGGTTTGTTTCGATCAAGACTATCTTTTATTATATCTCTTTAGTGTTTTTCACTTTTTTTCGATGACATTTTATTTTATTTGAAACACTTAGAAGAGTGTAACCCTGGGAGAATTTGGACTGAGGGTCTGGAAGAGGGGCAGCCCTCACATCTACTTCTCCTTTACAAAAATCGCCCTTGACCACCAAGGAACACAGTTTGGAAAACCCTTGCTCCAAAGCAGTGCATGCCCATTAGGATCAGTAGGGGAGCATCTAAAAAGTTCTGATGCCTGGGCCTTATTCCCAGAGACCATGACGTAATTGATCAAAGGTAAGGCCTGGACAGGAGGATTTTTTTGCAACGCTCCAGGTGTTTCTATGGAGCAGGAAAGACTGCATCAACTGAGATGTTAGGGCAAATCTGGACAAAATCTTACTCCTGACATGAACTAAGAGTCACACCAAGCAGGGATGACCCAGAGTGTGGCTGGACTTCCCGAAGTGTCTATGAATCCTTAGCTCCAGCTGGATCTTGCTTTAGCCTTTGGGGTTTTGTCTCCCAGATTATTTCCTCAATAGTTTTCATCTTCTGGTAAGGAATTTCCTTGTAAATAGCTACATGAAGTGTTCACGACACTACTGCTATTTTCAATCCACACTCTTAGGTTTTTTCACAAGCCAATCTTTCATGAGTTTCAGCTAAATAAGTTAAGCCACAGAAATAAAACCAAGAATCTCCAATGGAAAGTTAGGACAGCTTAGATTTTCAAGTGCTGAAATATCTGGAAGATTGAAAACTCCCCCTGGAATGTCTTTGGTAAGAGTGCCAAGAAGACAAGATGCCTAGATAAAGCCAGATTTCCTGTAAGACCTGATCAAAAACAGAAGTGGAAGATTGGCTTTCATAAGTAAGGGGAGATAACCTGCAGAAGTCACTGAGAATTGAGCCTTAAGAGATACTCCTCCGTGACTCAAGGAAAAATAATGTTACGCAAATGTAGTCATAATGAAAGGTTAAGGATAGGTTTCCTGCAAGTGCCTTGCCTTCAGGTTGGAACTCTGCCCTAAGCGGTGGGTGTGGTCTTCTGGGTGGGACCTAATCAGTCTGCAGAACCCACAGATCTTGCAGCTATGCACACAGGCTTTGCACAAAAGAATACTTCCTATGCGTTTCTTCTTTCACCCTTCCCAGAGGTACAAAGGGGAAAGATCAAATGTGTGGGTGTTTATATAAGGCAGCTCTTGCCTACTCGGATAGGAGAATTAAGCCTAAACAATTATGTTTGTTTAAACAAGTTTCTTATTTTTAATAATCCATCTGCCATATTTCTGGCCCAAATGGTAAGAATTCTCAAAATATTTTATGAGTTCCTTTTGCTGTTAATATTCATCATTTTTTAAATATTGAGGATTTTATGACTATAAAGGGGTCTTCTTTCCTTTTAATTTTTACTACTCCCTTCTTCCCTCCTCCAGAATGTTACTAAGAAGGAAAATGGCTTGGCCTTCAGCTAACTGTGAGGCCAGCCTTCTCTGGAATGCTGTGTGGTGCTGTGCTGTGACTTCCGTGGAATTCCATCCCTGTTTATCAAGAGCTCCCACTTATTTTAATATCGTATGTTGGAAAAAGTGGAAAAAGTAAAGCAACTCAATAGGGCCCTATCACTAAATTGTGAGTTAGCCTTTGAAAAATAGTAATTAAAAGCAAAGAAAGACGTAATATTTAGGCTTAATCTGATTAGCTCCCATTGCTCAGTTGAGGAGTGAAAGGAAGCAGTAATCCTAGGAAGGCACTGAGCCTGAGACACATTGGTGCTGGAATCCACTCCTGCCTGCACGGCACTGAGAACTGCTCTCTGTGACTTGGTCTTCTGTTGCCACTCGGTTGTGAACCCTCACTCTCCACGTCTGCCCTTCCAATTAATGACTGAGCCTTTCACTTGGCTTCTCCCCACCCCTTCAGCACCCTGCACAAGTCATACAGTAAGGAATGCCCGGCTCCCAAACCCGACCTGGACCCAGAGGACTCAACCATTCCAGTACCTCCATTTCCCACTTCAATTTTTGGGTGAGAGTGGGAGGCATATACAATAATAGCTAAATTCTCAAATACCTCTTTATAAATTACTCTAGTATCAAACATTGGCAAGATGCCTAATCATTTTAGGATTGGGGGATCTTTGTAACTAACAGAGTGACAACTCTTGGCTGTCTGATGAGGGGAAGTAAGTGGTTGCCACTCTGCAGCCTCTCCCCCCGCCTGACCCTGTACTGTTGGGATTTCCTGGCAGGTTATCTTGAGTATAGCACTGAGTTGCCTGAGCTGGAGTAGATTTGAGCTGAGTGGAAATTACCCTTCATTAGTATCTGTGTGGGGAGCACAGAGCCTCCTCTCCGTGTCCCAGAAGGCGGAAGGCTGAACCAGGGCATATTATCATCATCTGGTGCTGCCGACAGGTGGCAGTGGCAGTGATGTGCTCCCAGCCATGATAAGGTGAAGCAGCTAGAATGAGGCACCTTTGGAGGGATCATCACCAAAAACCAGTCCTCAACATCAGTGAGAGATCTTAACAAAGGGCAGGGGTTGCCTAGTAATGAAAAGCTTCCAGGTCTCCCTCTATTTTATGCCATTCAGGTGGCATTTCTTAGTCTATCCCTTAGAGTAAGTTGTGTAAGAGAGAGGGGTG